CCAAGCAAGTGACTTGTTTCAAATCTAAGCTTTGAACAATAAAGCTGACAGAATGCATCATGGCGCACTCTGTTGAGTGTCCTGGGCGAAAACCATACTGGCGGTCACTGAGAATGTGGTGAGCCATTAAATAGTCCATGAGTTGATTGCACACCACTCTCTCAGTCAGCTTCGCTACAGTGGGTAGTATTGATATTGGTCTGTAATTATTTGGATCGGAGCGTGATCCTGACTTGTGGAGTGGTAGAACTCTTGCGATTTTCCAGACAGCAGGCAGCAAACCGGATCCGAGTGAAGAATTGACAACATGCAGCAGTATGAGACCAATCACCGAAAAAGTCATACGAATCATCTGGATAGTAATTCCATCATCCCCAGATGCCTTTGAGTCTGACATTTGTCTCAGTGCAGTGCTTAGCTCAGTTAGTGTTGCTGGACGCACACGGAAGGCTCCACTCACGACACACCGTGGGCGGGGTTCATCTGGGGTGCGTCCCTCTCTCTGAGTCTCTGTCTCAGCGGCCACCCGAGGGCCGCAGCTGGCGAAGTGGTTGTTCAGCTGGTCTGCCATCTCGTGGCTGGTGGTGTCCACGGGATCGGCGTTCTTCTTTGATGAGAGGAAAAACTGTTGCAGACCCTTCCATGCTGAGCCTCGTGAGTCTGTTAGGGAGCTTGCGAAGAAAGACGAGCGTGCTTGCTGGAAATCTTTTTTTCTATTTAGACACCTGCGGTGTTACATTTCTTCTGATCTTGCTAAGATTATCCCCATAGTAAAAGAACATCTGTCTCTTAAGGATTCTCAGTCCGGGATGTTTTTTTTTTGCTGATATGGTCGAGACTGATCTTTTTTTTAAATCATGTATTCATTTATTATCATCAAGCAAGATCAAGATCAAGCACCCAAGTGCACTGGCGTTTAGATACGCGGGCGGGCATACTATATACATTGCCGCCCAAGCCCATATAGTACCCGATTCCTAATAGGTATGAGTGTCCTCTCAATTCCCGTGCACGACATTACACAGCTGGCCGCCCGATTGCTGCACCAACTACCAGAGTACGCCCCAGTCGTCCACACTCGGCAGAAATCATACAAACCACGCACCCGTGCGAGATATAACGGTTATAGGTCGAGACTGATCTGATGAACCTTTCCTTTTGACGATAAATGCCGGTAACTTATTGCTAACTTTTCGTATTTGATATCTTGCCCAGATTTCCTGCCCTGAGTATCCTGATATTGTGCGCGCAGTGAGTTTGTGCGAGTGTGCCAAAGGTCACGCCACGTGCAGAAATGTCACACGCCGCGAGATGTAAGGTCACGTCAGCACACCAGCCGAGTTTGTGGCGGACGTTTCCAGCTGCGATACCGGGAACTTTGTCAATATTGTACCGTGTGGACAAGTCAGCAACAAAAGTACCTTTAGAATGTCGATCGGAATTGGTGCAATGAATGACTTCTGTGTCGTCCGGAAGGAGGATGCTGAGAGGAGAATCATTCTCCAGTTATCTGCTAGAGAGATCTGGTCTGCACTTGCAGCTAGTCAGGAGTGTGCCTATTGGCTTTCCCCATACTAAGTGACCCACGGATGGGAGAGTATGTATTTTATGCATACGATTTAACCCGCGCCCTGGTGGGGTCTGTTTATAACGCGACCTGGTGGGGGGGGGCTATTTTTTGCCCCCCCCTCGTATCTCCGAAACTACTGGACGGATCCGGAAAATTCAAACGGCGTTCGAAAGGCCTGTCAAATTTGTCGAGAGAAACCAAATTTCATTGACCTCGGGGTCACCGATGACGTCACAGGTCAGGTCAAAGATGAAATGTTTCACCGTTCCCGGGTCTGCTAGGGAATGCGCTATAACACCGAGGAAAACGCATTTTGTCGATAATCAGCGATAGGGCGTCAGTTGCCTAGTAGATATGTTGCTATTAAAGGTCACTGACAATACCAGGTCAGGTCACAGGTCAGGTCACCAAGGGTCACAGGTCAGGTCACATGAGCCCAACTTTACTAAGGTTGTGTGATGCATGTTTTATGGCCAATTTTTCATTTCCAACTCAATGGTGTTGGTTATAAGACTATCAGGTACGGCTTAGGTCACTTTCTGGTGAAGTTCAGGTCAAGGTCAGGTCAAGGTCAGGCCAAAAAAGGTCAAATTTTAAAGTTGATAGTTTTGCATAAAATGGGTATCGATTCGATGTAGCTCGTCACGGGGAGTCTAATGGTGGTCTTTGTTTTGCGCTACGAGGTCTAGAATTGCTAAAAATTGAGTTTGAAAATTTGACGTCATCAATTTTGAACAGTTTTTTTCGCTATAACTTCGCCAAAAAAAGAGGTATCAATCTCAAATTTGGTATGTGGATAGAAGGAGGTATGGACTATCACATATATTCCGGTTTTTGCGAAATTCATAAATCTTTTTTGATTTTTTGGCTATTATATTCAAAAAATCTATTTTTTGATTTTTGGGGTTCAAAATTCAAAAATTTCAAAAATCCGAGATAACAGTTTTGTAGCCCTGTCAATTCTACAGCTTTTATATCTTTATCATTTTTCTGTATTTGCAAAGCTCTAGGCCTGACAGCTCTTCCCGCGAAACCCTTTTTTGGGCCGAAAACGGCAGAATATGACGTCACTCTGACGTCATTTCCGGCCAACCTATCATAGCCTTTGGAAAAATTTTTGGTCACAATGTGTAAAATTGGTGTCTGGGAGGGTACTGAAAGTTTGGTGACGATCGGCGCAGCGGTTCTGGAGATATATCGAAAAGTCTGGAGGGGGGGGGGGGGGGCAAAAAATAGCCCCCCCCCCCCCACCAGGTCGCGGGTTAAATAGGTGCGTTTATGTTAAATATGTGAGTAACCATTTTTACATCCACAATCACATTTTTCAGCACTCAGCCTCCACGTCAGCGGTTTTAATCAGTACCGTCGTATTCGCGCAGCGCGTTGTTAGTTTCAGGCTACTCTTGATGCATGAAAACGGCATTCACCGCACGTGCCACGTGCAAAATGATCACCAAGGCATGTGCTATCGATATTACCAGGATGGACGACAGGGCATAAAGGCTTCCCTCGAGCCATCTTTTATGCGTTTGCATTGTCAGGTTTAAATTTATATTGCTCCAATGTCTGTCTTGGGTCCAATATTAGCCAGAGATATTCCCTTAACGCCATTCCAAGCCATCTATTTGTTCACAAGTAATCCTTAAATCCTACGACTGTCCGTAGGAAATCAAATAGCACATTACGCATGCACCTTATTCTAAATTTGGAGATAGTTACTAGGTCTTGGCTGACGCCGAACGTAGCTGTGTTTAGCTGTATACAAGCACATGTGTACTCAGGTCACTGGTCACTTCAGTGGTCAGGTCCGATTCTGCCTGCAAGCGCCATCCCTACGCCCTCTGCTTTCTCAGAGAAAGGTCGCACATCGGACGACGCTTTTCCGCCGTCTGACTACGGCCAGCAACTCGAGTCTCCGATCCCAAGGGAGGTGTTCGCTCCGCTGGTTACGAGTCCCACGGGAATGGGATCCGATGAATGATGGACCTGCTGTGACTCTAAGTCAGATCCAGCTGGTGTGTTTGTGGGAGGAGAACTAGTGCTGCTGGAGGTTCCGAACAACCACCGCGTCATGTGGAGAAGTGTATAGGGCTAAGGGGAGCCTTGGCATGAAGGGTGTGGCCCGGAAGTTCTGAGGTTAGACAGCGATGATAAAAAGAGCATTGTGATTGGAAAAGCAGTAGGTAAAGGGACATGCTAAAGAGAGACATAGAAAGCAGTGGAAGAGAGAGAGAGAGAGAGAGAGAGAGAGAGAGAGAGAGAGAGAGAGAGAGAGAGAGAGAGAGAGAGAGAGAGAGAGAGAGAGAGAGAGAGAGAGAAGAGAGAAGAGAGAGAGAGAGAGAGAGAGAGAGAGAGAGAGAGAGAGAGAGAGAGAGAGAGAGAGAGAGAGAGAGAGAGAGAGAGTGAGAGAGAGAGATTTTGTTTTTGTTTTTTGAGATAAATGTTTTTGGGAGGAGCGCATGCTAGTCCATCATACATATTGACGTTCCTAGGAGTTGTTTCGTTGACTGCGACACGCATTTGCTAACACCGGTATCATGATGCATATTACCAAATACTTGAAATGGGAAATTACGGCACTTTACAAGATTGGGCCATGGAGACGCTAAACGGAGAACGTCTGTCTGTGTCTCGAGCTGTGGCAGTCTTCGCGCGAGCGTTATATAACATTTGCGTGATGGTGATTCCGCAAATCGGTAACGCTCCATGATGGAGAACGATATTAATGTCATTTGATGCAGGCATACATGCACTAGTGATTGAGTCTGGCTTCTCACTGTCGATAAGCGACTCCCGTATTGAAGTCAAGTTTGGTGAACAATTTATAAGCCGATTGTTAAATCAGACCGTAAAAGAAGTAACGCACGTGTAAGCGCGATTCCAGGAGCTGTAGCTCATGAAGCAGTCTTATTGGTTTTGTTGCTGCGTAGCAGGCTTATGAAAGCAAGCTTCCATCTCGCCTCAAGCTCCTTTGGAACACAGTTAATGTAAAAGTTTGCACCCATTTATACCGCCTGGCCTTGGGGAAAATGTTACGGATGCTGGAAACTTTTTTGCTACAGGCTGATCATTTTCCGACCTTACAGGCTCATAAAATGTGCCATCACCAAAACATATCCTCAAAACATGTCATTGACATTTCTTTTAAGCACAGCTCATGAATTAAATAGTTCACCTTGGAACCAAAACTAACTGATCAATCAACTTTCCTATTATTGAATTATGCTGACAATAGCTCTCAAATGACTCAACAACCTGACTTAGACGGTTCAAGCACCAGAGCTACCAAATAATGTGCTCACTGTTCATGGCAGCACAACGAATACACTCGTTGACATGGGCATTGGCACTCAATCATACATCACGCTAATCAAAACAAGTCAATTCACATTTCTGTCAGATCAAGCACACACCTTACCAGAACTCTCACCTTAATCATCCGCTTCATCAGCTTGTAGCGGGTGAAGACGTTGCCTCCCTCCTGAACACAGTCGAACTTCTTGTGGAGGTCCAGCAGAGCCTGTTTGGCTAGACCGAATGACGAGTCGAGGAGACCGCTGACCTTCCGGAGGCGTTCGTTGAGCGCTATGACCTCCTCTCGGGATTGCACTGTCGGGTGAGGAGGGGGAGGGGGTCAGTTTAAAAGGACCCTCCCACCTTCAAAAACGTTAATGAATTGGCATGAAAGTGATGTCCCTTGGTTCAGAAAGAGCGAAAACGAATATCTACCAAATTTCACCGAAAAATATTCACTGGTTTTCAAGATATTAGGCTTTTACTTTTGTTTACTTTTTGGGATCTCCCCTGTTACTAGCGACTTTATTTGGAAGCAATAATTTGGCAGCCCTAAAGTGCGGCAGACGTTGCGCGCAAAGCAGCGTATACCACCACGTGTTAACGATGGTTTTAGTCTAAGATTTAAAAATCGTTAGATCTCCGCTGACGTCACAAATTCTAAGGGGGCATTCCAATGCATTAGCCCCTTAGAATCCGAAAACTGCAAGTTTGAAATTCCATATCTTCGAATTAAAGCATTTTTCGATGTTGTGAGTGTCCAAACCGGTATTTGCAGGTCATGGCCACCAATTTGGCTATCTCAACTCAAAACTAATGTTAAGGTGGGAGGGTCCCTTTAAGTCAGTGAGACAGCCTCCTCAAGGGTGGAAGCTGCCGACCGGGAGGTCACGGTGGGTGTCGGTTTAAGTCAGCGAGACACTCGTAACGGGAACAAACGAGCCGGGGCTTTGGACCCGAAGGGGGAGGGGGTCAGTGACAGTCATGAAGCGCGAGTGGTCTTCAAAGAGTGAAGTGACAACTGGTCCGTGGAGGCTGGGGAAAGATGATTGTAAGATCAGGTTATCATGACAGAAGGCATGACAATAATCTGGCAAACGAATTAAAGGGGTTAATGCGCCTGAATCACTTTGCGCTTGTTGTGATGATTGAAAATGTGTGGCTCGGAGAAAATTTGTTTCCAAAAGGGTGAAAGAATGTTATCGAATATCTCAGGGAATAGGCACATGCATCAACGGCAGTTGCGCTTTAATTAAATTCGTTTTTCTGAAGACTTTAGATGACAATTGTCATGGCCGTGGGCTTGTTCGTAATAATGATCGCAACGGAGAAAGTGGGTGATGAGCATTTGAAATGAGGATTGAACGTGAAATGGTAGTGGGTTTCACGTTTGACATGATTGTGATCAAGTCGAGAAGAGACGGAGAAAACCTGAGGAGAAAACTTGATCTCCAGGAAGGAGCTTGAGTTGTTAGCAGCCGAGAATTGAAAGACAATGGTGGTTACGAGTATATCGAAAGTAAGTGAGTGATATTTAAACGTGGCTCGGTGTTTGGTGATATCGGAACATAACTGGATGGAATTTCATTACTAATTTCGACATTTTAGCGAAAGCGGATGCTATTTGCTCATCAGCATATGAAGTTCGGATACAGAAGGTATATTTGAAATGTAAGCAGTTCACCATCGAACGCTGCTTATGTCAGTTTGGGTGCTGGTAACCTGGGCAAATATGTTAGCTCCGAGTGGATGCACCGGACGGATCTAACCTCCGGTGTGGAATTGATGTGTACTGAAATGCAAACCTGCGACTGAAACTTCAAAAGCCCCTCACTCACAGGAACACATAGGTGGATGCCGATTACATCCATTCTACGTAGCTTTCAATGGTAGGCTTTCAATTGTGAAATTAAAGCAATCGGAAGCACATACAGCTGTGGAATTTTCTTTCGCCACGGTTCAGGTGACATGAGTTTGGTTATGTTTATTGATATTCGCTCAATAAGGGAAGATGTAATCGTGGTTCGACACAAGTCAGCTATGTTACATGATTTTCGGTCAAGGTGCATGCATCGAAGATAAATCAAAAGATAAGAAAATTCCAGATTAGATGTCATGTTAATCAGTAATCACTCTGTGAATCGTAGGTGATCGACCAGCACATAGCGGCGCGGAGGTCAATTCTCCGTCATTTGAGGTCAGTTTACCACCACGGCATTCCGTTCCGTTCCTCAGAGACGATGGCACAAATGTCAATCGATATAAACCTCGACCCCGACCCTGACCAGTTACCACCTACCTCGAGTCTGACCCCAATCCTGACCTCGAACCTTAACCCAAATCTGACCTCAATACTAACCTCAAGCACGACCCCCAGTCTGATCCCAAGTCTAATCCCAAACCAGACTCCGAATCCGATCCTGACGCAGATTCAGACCCTGACCACAAAACCCAAACCTGACCCTGATCCTGACCCTAAGACCTTGTCCACCTGACCACCGAGTGTCCATTCTCGGCCGGGGGACGACCCGGCCGGACGCTCGGTCCACCAGACAGCCGGTCGCCGGGTCTCGACCCTGTCTCGACCCGACCAGACGGTCGTATGCCCGGCCACTGCCGGCGGATGAGACGGTCCCGGCGAATTATTGACCGGTCGGCCGGTCTGCCGCCCGCCCGCCCGCTCTGTCCAACTGTTGCTGAGCTGGCAGGGAGCTGACCGGGCCCAGTGATCCTCATAGCGGAGGTGACCGCCAGCACAGAGCGCGGTACGGTTAGGATTTTTTTGTGGTTTGTTTTTCTGTTGGTTGCTGAGGGGCTTGTGAACTGTGAAGGAAGTCTTAGCTGTGTGTGTTAGATACGGAACTGTGTGCATTATTTAGGCATCTTTGGTGGACTGATTGTAGAGTATGGTAGGTACTAAATGAATTAGATTGGCAGTGCAAACGTATGGCCGCATGGTGAATGAACTCTGGCATTGTGACAGGTCAAAGCGCAATCAAGCTTACCTATATCAATATCCTTGTTCTCCCGTGCAAACGTTCAGTCCCCGTGCATTGGGTGTAAAAATAAATTTGCGAGATGCTCATTTGGTGAGTGAATTCAGTCAGACGGTTAACCCTCGCCGGCCGAGGGGGGGGGGGGCGGGTGCCGCCCCCCCCATAGGGTTTTTTCGCGATAGCTCCGAACACGCTGGCGATAGAGAGCTGAAACTTGGCATACCTGACCTTTGATCCAAGCCGCATCTTTTGACACCAACCGCATTTTTGGGTCAGGTCAGGTCACTGACCTATGACGTCATAAGTGAACCTCTGCACGGTCTTCAGATGTCGCAACTTCGCAACGCCCTCACTGCCAGAGGAGATGTCACAGGGAAATGAAACTTGCAGGATCTAGTATCCATTATGAGTCCCACAACTTGTATATCTCGGATTTTTCCTAAAGGTCATATGAGGTCAGGTCATTTTCGTGACCTCACCATTATAAGTCAATGGGGAAAAATGAAAACTGCTATTCTGGCGCCGGGAACGATCTCCAACTATCTCAAGCACACAGAATCGTGATTTGATGCACTCCTTGCAAGGTTAGATGCGTCACTTTTGCAATGTTGACCTTGCGTGACGTCATTTATGACGTCATCAAGGTCAAATTAGTTTTTCGTCAATAACTCTTGATCAAATTGAGCTAGCGAGTCGGGGAAGGCACCAATGGACTCAGGAAGGCCTGCCGAATCGAATGATATGCGACATGACCTCTTTCGACCAACTTCGTGACCTGGGGGTGCTGACCTGACCTTGACCTGAGGTCAACACCCCAAGTTGACCTGACCCGGACAAAAAGTATATCATTCGACGCGCCTGAGCGAGGCGAACACGATGCTGCCAAAATCGGCGCTCTGCGGCCGTTTTTTGCGAAGTTATTCACGAAAAACTGAACCGTACCTTGGGGCACTTGACCTGACCTCAGAGGTCACTGGTTGACCTAGGACCTTAAAATCGGGTACCAATCTCTGCGTCTCGTAACGGCGCACACGCTCGTTTTTTCCGCGACGCGCTAGCTCCACCAGGGGCGAAACGGCGAGGGGGGGTCGTACCCGCCCCCCCCCCCCCCTCGGCCGGCGCGTATGTAGAAAACCAATAGGTCCGGCGAGGGTTAATTTTAATACACATCAGTCTTCGGGCTGATGCTGGCTGGAGCCCGAGCTGCAGAGATATTGATCGACTACCGTGACAGGGCTCAGAGACTCAGCTCAGCAGTCATGAGTCAAGTGGATGCACGCCACAGGGCTGCTGCAGCCCCAACACTATAGTCGTTCGGTGGCTGCAAACAAGGGATACTGTGCCCACAGCAATCTACTGACTCATCGAACATGTTAGTGTTGATGTTTCACAAGAGGTGGGTTAATGTTCAACATGTTTAAGGCCCGCAGTCACCGGTCTGTTTCAATTTCAAGACACTCCAATTACCGTTAAAACGTCACCATTGGGGAAACTGGGCAATGATACAAAAAAGGCAATCACATTTGTCGTGTGAGGTCAGAGGTGTCAACATTTGCCTACTCGGATCTTATTCATGTCACGGATGGCAAAAAGATGGCTGACACGAGCAGTTCTCTGCTGATTTCTTCCAGTGACACTTATTGTCAACCACATTACAGGATTTCTGAAAGGAGTTATACCTAACCCCATGCCAGTTTTGTGATTTTAGGTCTCCCTGCTACTGTCTGTCGACGTTATGAGAAACGGCCTGGCCGGTTGGCAGAGGTTAATGCGGAGTACCAAACCAATGTCTTCAATTTGCTCAATCGGTTTTCCTCGGTGGTCATCACCGCTCTCCTTTCCTCCCCAGTCGGTTTTCTCGTTGAAAGTGGTGCTTAGCCGTACCACGGGGGACCTAAGCACTCGTCTCGCCCTGTTGGGCCCCGGGGAGGAGCCATTGTTTCTGTTCGACCTCCCTGGAGTCTGTTCTCCACAGAACAAACGCTCTCTCAGAATGGTCCGAATGGCCGGGTGGAACGTGTCGGAAGAACCCTTTAGCTCACTAGACAGCGTGGATCCTGTGCGTTTCCTGAGCTGTGGAGATGACTGCGAAATGACCCCTGGATCCGCCGGTGGATGGTCCTAAGCTATTTCCAGACTACGACTGGTCGCAGACATTCGTTTGGGAAAATTGAAAACGACCCAGCTGGTATTATCAATTCATGCGGGAACTTTGCTCATGTATGGTACAGGATGAGTTTTGAGATTGGGATATGTCCATCCTTAACGAAAATTAATGAGTCACAGCTAGTAAGCAGGGACTGGCAGATAACTCAGTGA